CCCGACTTTTTCAACCCCATCGTCCGGGACATGCTCCTCTTCTACGCCGAGCAGGGGGATGTACAGATGGCGGTGTCCGTGCTCATCGTGCTGGGCGACCGGATCAGGAAAGAGATCGATGAGCAAACCCAGGTATAGCGCTGTAGGGAGGAGGCACTTCCCAGAGAGAGGCTTCTTCAGCAAAGCTGCTGCATACCCTCTCCCAGCAAACAGGGTTTGGAGACTCTCATAATAATCCCTCGTATTTCATCCAGAAGACCCCAGAGTGCTTTGCACACTTTCCCTGTAAAATACAAGAACCTCTTATCTATTTGCAAAATGCAGCCACCTCTGGGGTAGGGAACGTGGTTAATAGTGCACAGCAAAGTCCCACAACAGTGAAAGCAAATGCTGTATCCAGTTGAAACGGTAGATGTAATTCTCTGGAGTGGAGCTGGCCCAATCACTGGGGCTAACAACCCACTTCTGCAGAAAATGCCAGGGTGTCTAATGTCTCAGTACTGCCTCTGGTCTGAAAGGCAGTCTCACTAGGAGCACAGTACCTGCTTCCTGGCACCCTGGCATAGCACCAACTTGAAGGGAGGATAGACACCTGCAGCATCACCAGCACCATGAGGTTTTCCTTGGAGACTCTTCTCCCTTCTGAGCACTGACCCTTTTGTCTTACAAGACATAAGGGAGCAGCATGGCTGCAGGCATGTGTCGTTGCTCCAGACTAGCTTGGTATATTTATTTGGGCTTGTGAAAACACAGCTCTCCAGAGCTCTAAGTGCAGAACAGTTTGCCCTATACCAGGGCATACAAATAACTGCGGTTGACTCATTGTCAGTGCTCAGATCTTCTCCTTTCATCCAGTTGTCCCCCATGGAGAGCCCTGGGCAGACTTTGCATTGAGCAAACTCAGGCTCTGCTGGACTGGTGGGGGGAAATCCCAGAGTCGAGGGCTGTCCACAGATAACAGCCAGATGTATCTATTGGCTCTCAGCTGTAATGCCCCAGCTAATCTCGAGTTGGAGAGAATGTGGCCCTACGATGCCTTTACAGATCAAACCCAACACCTTGAATGGTATCTGGAAGCCGGTGCTGATTTTGGCACACTGTCAGAGATGCTAAACAGACAGACCCCAGCCAAAGTGTGAGAGCCTCAGGTGTAGCCTGCATTGGAGCACATTTCAGTAACTCAGTCTGGAAGTGACAAAGGCATGGACAGTTGTAAGGAAGCCCACATCAAGCATGAAACTCCAAGCACAGATTGGGGAAGGCATTCCTGATACACTAACTGAAAGAGAGGTTGGTGGGTGTTGGTCGAGGGCCTAGTCTGGTAACCTGTTCCCACACAGCTTGGGAGCACTGTGCTGGAGAATTGTCACAGACTATATAGTAAGACCAAGCCACTCTAAATGAATAAGAAATAATGTTTCCAGCTGGAAAGGTACCACTGAGCAAGGAGTCCAGTTAGGCCATCGGTCTTACGGACTGTTAGTTAAGAATTTCTTGGGAGCAGAGTGAATCATGCTTTTGGCTTTATTTTCTGCCTTTGCATTGTCAGAGAGAGAAAGCTGCAGAGATCAGATCTCCTTTGGCGTGTTACCATCCCAGCTAACTGTGTGTACTGTAGAATAACCAATGCATGAAGTAGCTAGATGGTATACCCTTCTGCACCCCTCCTTGTTTGGTCTAACATTTGATAGCCCCTTCTAAAGGTGATTTAACCTGAGGCTGGAGTCACAGGGAGGGGGTTTGGGTTCAGTAATTTTGCCCACAGACCCTGATGTGAACCAAGGCTAACTTAGGTGTTTGCCCCCCCACCCCGCCCCAGGAGCACTGGTACACTTCCTATATCGACCTGCTGCAGCGCTTCCAGCTCTGGAATATCTCCAATGAGGTGATCAAACTGAGCACGTGCAGAGCCATCAACTGCCTCAACCAGGCCTCCACCACCCTGCACATCAACTGCAGCAACTGCAAGCGGCCGATGAGCAACAAGGGCTGGATCTGCGACAGGTGAGATGCTTTAGGGTGGAGGGGGAGTGGGGTGGGCACCTTCATTTTGCAAGGGTTTGTCTGGAGGTAGCTAATGCATTATCTTGATGTGATGTGATCTCCTACCCAGTTCAGTTTCCATTATTATTTGTTTGTACTTCAGTAGTACCTAGAGGCCCCCGTGGAGCTCACCCTATTGTGCATACACCCACAAAGAGAGGTCCTGCCCTGAAGAGCTTACTCTAAATACACCAGACACAAGTGGCGGGAAAACAGAGGCAGAGAGAGGTGAAGTGACTTGCTCAAGGTTACACAGCTGGCCAATGGCAGCACTGGGAATAAAACCCACGTCCCTCTCAGAGCACTGTCCTAACCACTGAACCACACTGCAGCAGAGAAATACAATCTGCTGTTGCGGGGGTCCCTTGGGATCACTAACGATCTGTGCTGCTTCTGAATGGTAAACAGTCTCCCATGCATGTTCCCAGCCTGACCTGGGTTAAAGCTTCCTCCCCAAGGTTCTGTTGCTTCTTTATATGCTGTTCGATTTGTAGTTGATTTCATTGCTGTGAGGCATCCAGTGTCGGGCCCCAATGTTATGTTTTTCCTGCTCTCTTGGGTTTCTGGTTTATAAACTCCCTGCCGTGTGCCAGCAAGAGCTCAAGATGATACTGAAGGAGTTACAGTTTTGAGGTGTGGGCAGGGATTGACTGAGCTCACGCCCTGAGGAGTCTGCATTGATTGGAAGGGTTCCTTGATCCAGCTGGGAGCTGCGTGGTACATGCCACGGTTTCACTGCCTGAGCTGGCCGCTCACCCCAGGGTGCTTTCTTTGCAGCTGATTCAAGTGTAATCTTCTCTCTCTGGGCCAGGTGTCGGCAGTGTGCCAGCATGTGTGCGGTGTGCCACCATGTGGTGAAGGGCCTGTTTGTGTGGTGCCAGGGCTGCAGTCACGGTGGCCACCTGCAGCACATCATGAAATGGCTAGAGACCAGTTCACACTGTCCAGCGGGCTGTGGCCACCTCTGCGAATACACTTGAACTGAAAGGAACCAACCCGCAGCTGACGAGAGGTGGGATTCAGTCCCTGACCTGAATGGAACCCACAGGAGACTGATCGCTGGAGCCTCTGCTTGGGTGGAGGTTTTGGAGTTACAGCCACTTGCCAGGAGAGGCTGTTGGATTTTACAGAGGCGGCACCACTTGCAGGATGCTATCCTTGAACAGGATTGAAAGTGAGGCTGACTTTGTGTAGGGAAGGTTCCTCCACAATGCTTGAAATACAGTAAAGCCTGCAACATCCAAGAGCCTTCCTGGACAGCTTTTCCTAGTCATTGTCTTCTATTTATTTTTTGACTGGAGTGTAAATAATTTTGTATTAAAGGTACCGGAATATTGTGTAAACATAGTTCTTTATAAACCAATCTAATGAGCAAGAAAGTCTGAGCCGGACTCTGAGCTACAACTTGACTTTTATACTGAATAAAAAAAGAACAAAGTAGCCTCAGTGAGTCACTTGTTTGTATGCAGCTGCCACATGTGAATACATCCAAGAACGCTGCTTTGTCCAGCTCTGGCTGCATGTGCATAGCATCTTCGCTGATTCTCCTTGTGGAAAGGAGTCTAATGATCAATCCTGACCACAGTCTAATAGCCAACAATTCTTGGGAAAGGGGAGTTATTAACCTGATTCTCCAGCCCAGCCCCTAAATGCTGAGCATAAGGTAACCTGCAATTGCCTCTGGAAAAAGAAAATCAGATAGATTGCATGCTTCATATTGAATAGGGCATAGCCTCTGGAGACTTAGGGAAAAGTTCTGATTAATTCACCAATTCACTTGTGATTTCAGCTGAACATCCTCTTGTTCCTGGAGAATCTGTAGAACTGAGACAGATGCCTTGGGGTGAGCAGAATCTACTTAGTCCCAGAGCTAGGAGTCTGGAGTCACCACCCTGGTGTATGTGCTTAAACAAGTCACTTAACTTCTCCAAGCCTCCGTTTTCCTTATCTGTTAAATGGGCCTAAGCATCAAACTACTTTCAGAGGGAATCAGTTGAGAGTCAGTGTTTATATAGTGCTTTGAAAATGACAACTATACAGCTACAAAGGTCCCCAAATTGGCTAGAATGTGGGGGGAGGCGCCCCTTTGGAGCAGATCCTACCATCCTGTCCTCACGGTCATAAACTTGTACCACCTGCCCAACGAGCACCTGGCTTGAAATGCTGATTAGCATGACCCATGTTGTACCAACTTTCAAGTTATCTGTGCTTCTTGATCCTCCTGCACAACTGCACCACCTCCCCCTTTAGGGTGGATGCTGGCAGGAACACCTCCTAGGCTCCTGCTCTTGTTGAACAGAATCCTCTATCCTTGGGCCCCCTAAATACTTTCACAGCCACAAGTTCTTGACATCCTTCCTATAGCCCCTTGCCATACTGGCCCAGCATAGGAGGGAAGCAGCAGCAGCAACCAGCTAGCTTTTGCTTGTACTGATTAGGGTGACCAGACAGCAAATGTGAAAAATCAGGACTTGGGTGGAAGGTAATAGGAGCCTATATAAGAAAAAGACCCAAAAATCGGGACTGTCCCTATTAAATCGGGACATCTGGTCACCCTTGTACTGATCCCGGCTGGCATCAGTCTGAGGAAACCTGGTGGAAAAGGCGGGAACACAAGCACATAGGAGGGGAGGAATCAATGGGGCAGAACACAGGCTGCAGAGGTACAAAACAGGTGGAGCTAGGCCTGAACCATGAAATTCCCCCGCTGAGCAGGGGTGTTTGGCCTGTGGGAGGAAGGGCTCTTGGTTCAGCCCATTTCCTGCTCTGGGACTAGCTGTGGGTTAGTGGCTGGTGACGTTTGTCAATGGCTGCTGGGTAATGTAGTCACCAGGCCAGCAGTCCAATAGCAGCATGTGGCATCAGCCTTTCCTCCCCTTTCACCCCTTTGAGGGACCACGAATGGAAGTGTCTCCCAGCTGCCTGCTGGGTAATGTAGTCCGCAGGCCACGAGCCCACGCAGCAGCACGTGGCCATCCTGCCAGGCCGTGTTGAAAGGCGTCAGTGCGCGCGGGTGCCCGGGGTGGCGGCGGCTGTGACATGCCTGGAATACAGCTCCCAGAATGCAATGGAGGTGGGGGGGCTCTGGGCTGAGACTTGCCGGCATCAGCAGCCGCACGCAGACAGAGCGCTCCACCTGCGGCGCGTGGCGGTAGGGGCTGGAGGGGCCCGCGGACGTGGGAGGCGACACATGCAGCGCGAGGGAGTTGGGGTAGAGGGTCGGGTAGGGGTAGCAGGTATTAGCCTAGAGCTGGAGTGGGGGGTAAATTCAGAGAGGGGAGGGAAGGGAAAGAGCCAGAAGCGAGCGAACAGCTGGATTGATTCCCCTGCTGGCATTAGGGTGTATTACAGCCTTTAACACCCTGTCCTGCCCTGGTCTCTCCCTAGCTTTTCCAGCCTGCTTCTCTGAGAGAATCTGACACCCCAGACAGCAGAGGGCTGCTGGGGGCAAATGGGATCGTGGTGGCAATTCCTTCTCCTATCCATCCCATTGTCGCTGCCTGGAGACTTAGATTACCTGGAAGGAAATGGGGGCTGGTAAGTAGACAACCCATGCACTCAAGTATTGTCTCAGTCTCTTCTGGGATTTAAAGCATCAGGTCTGGTCCACATTCCCCCCAGTGGACATGCTGCCATGCAGAATGCTATGTTGACTCATGAGAGGTGGTCAGGGAAACCTCCATTGCTGAAAGAACCAGGTTCCTGCTTATCACAACGTCAGTACCTTGCCACTCTCTCCACTCTGATCTTCACTGCATTCTGCTTGTCTCCTGACAGCTGGAAAATTATATATTACCTTGAGGTTTGTATCCCAAAAGGAGGACCTGTTAGCCTATTGTTGACTGCTTAGCGTTTTGTAAGCAGGCTGTTGATCACCTTTCCCCCAGGCATGGTTTTGGCTACTGTCAGGAGAACTAGCTCTGCCTAGATGGCCCAGCTAGAGGCAGAGTTGCCTAGGGAGTAGAGTGAAGTACTAAGGATCTGGAAACCTGCGCTATATTCTTGGTTCTGCCACTGATTCGCACTGTAACCATGGCCAGGTCGCTTATCCTTTCCGTGCCTCAGTTTCTCGAGTCATGATGATGGCATTTCCCTGCCTTCAGGGGATTGTGAGGATCATTTCATGAATGTTTGTGAAGTGGCTGGCAGCAAGGCACTGGAGAAACTCAAAGCGTTATTGAGCGTATAACTCTGAGTGCTCTTGTGGAGATGCCAAAGGCAGAGAGAAGGTTAGATTTAGAAATAAAAGGGGGAAATCTGGTCAGTGCTTAACAAACTTGGGAATGATGGCATTTTGAAATGGCTTATGTGGGGAAGGATTTCTCCATATCCCCCTAGCCCACACTCAGTGTGCAGTGGCACTCAAGCAAACAGAATGTTGGGAATCATTAGGAAAGGGTTAGATAATAAGACAGAAAATATCATATTGCCTCTATATAAATCCATGGCATGCTTATGTCTTGAATACTGGGTGCAGATGTGATTGCCCCATCTCAAAAAAGATATGTTGGAATTGGAAAAGGTACAGAAAAGGGCAACCAAAATGATTAAGGGTATGGAACGGCTTCCGTATGAGGAGAGATTAATAAGACTGGGACTTTTCAGCTTGGAAAAGAGATGACTAAGGGGGGATATGATAGAGGTCTATAAAATCATGACTGGTGTGGAGAAAGTAAATAAGTGTTATTTACTCCTCATAACACAAGAACTAGGGGTCACCAAATGAAATTAATAGGCAGCAGGTTTAAAACAAACAAGGCATTTCTTCACACAACGCACTGTGAACCTGTGGAACTCCTTGCCAGAAGATATTGTGAAGGCCAAGACTATAACAGAGTTCACAAAAGAACTAGATAGGTTCATGGAGGATAGGTCCATCAATAGCTATTAGCCAGGATGGGCAGGGAATGTTTGCCAGAAGCTGGGAATGGGCAACAAGGGATGGATCACTTGATGATTACCTGTTCTGTTCATTCCCTCTGAAGCACCTGGCATTGGCCAATGTCGGAAGACAGGATACTGGGCTAGATGGACCTTTGGTCTGACCCAGTGTGGCCGTTCTTCTGTTCTTATATATTAGGTGTGGCTCTTGAACTCTTTCTTCTTCTCCCCAACCATGGAGCTTGGTTTAGTTTGAACAGATCTAAGATTGAAAAGGCCCCTAAGAACACAGTCCATCCCCGCACATTGGCAGTATCTAATGCCCTAGACACAGCAGCGGGGTAGAACCGTTGCTACTTCTGCTAGCCTAGTTCTTAGCCAGTTGATTGAAGGAGCAGATGCTTGGAGGGTCAGCAACCTCCCACGAACAGACTCAGACCAGGCATTCCCTGGGGGAGAGCAGACCTAGCCTGGAGTTGCCATGGAGAGAGAACTGGGCTTGCAGCCTTGTTACTTATCACAACGGGCCAGTGGGCCAATCAGTGCCCCTCCTGTCATCTGCAAGGGGCTGACTAGAATATTTTGTTCCTCCCTTGAAGCGGCTGCCTCTATGGAGCAGTCATGGCATCAGTTCCTTGACGCTTCCCGCTGAGAAATCTGACAGATTCCCCAGGCCTCTTTCCATTGCTGTTGCAACCCTTGGCACCGACCCTGATGTTGGAGTTACTGTCTCTGGGTTAGAGGGAAAGGGAGCTGGCAGTGACCAGGTCCGATCTCCCACTGCGGGGGTTGCTGATCCTCTGGGGATGATGTCACCTGCTGGGAAATGCTCAGGCTGGCAGTGATTGATGCCGAGGGCTCTGTCCCTTTCCCCACCCCAGGCTGACGAACAAGTATTTGGCTCTGATGGAAGAAGACCACTGCACGGTGGAGAGGAGAGATGCTTCCCTGACCTACTCCCAGTTCATAGACCAGTAGGTGTGCTGCTCTCTTTGCTCTCCAGGGCTCAACCAGCCCCTTTCCTGTACCCAGCACTGCATGAAATCAGCATGGTTATTACTGGGGGAGGGAGGGGGATTCTCTGAGGTCTTCCCCTTGACATGACTCCACAGGGTCCTGGCTGTGCACAGGTCATTGTGGAAATCTCATGGCACCCAGAGGGGTGCTGTTTACCTTGGGACCAGTTAGGAGATGGGGTTCTCTGTCAGCAGGCAACTTGCAGATCAGTGACCATTCAATAGAATCTGATCAGAGTTTTCCATCCACTGCTAGGAAGAGAAGTGACTCCCATGAGTGCCACAAGCCCAACTTCTCCATTAGCCCTTTGCAGACCTGGTAGTGTGCCAGCACAGAGCATGCATCCCCATGCTGCCTGCACAGCTCTCTCTCTTTGCCCCCAGAGGTCCCATAACCTAGATCTGCCCTTGAGATGGTCTGTGAATGTGTCTGTCCTCAGCTTGCCCACCCACTGCCACTGAAGGTGCAAAGAATTTGAGTCTGAGCACTGAACAGCTCGGCCCATGTATCAGTACATAAATCTGTTCCAGAGGTGGTTACAGCTGGTTTTCAATACAGCTAACACTAGTACTGTTAACCAGGGGCTCTGATGGGAGTGAGCTGGGTATGTAGAATGTGCCAGGTCCCAAGGGGCCAGGAAAGTGTTTAATTTCCCTCTGTGTTTTCCAGATATGCCTTTTCCAGGCCTGTTGTTATCCAGGGAATCACGGACAACTCGGTAAGTGCTACATGCTCCTGGCTGTGATATGCCCCTCCAGCCTGAGCCATCTCATTGTATGTAGGGAAACAGCCCCTTGGAGCCTCTCCAGCCTTTCCCCAGGGCCAGGCTTAGTAGCCATGTTTGCCCTCCTGGCAGCCAGGCACGTGCTCCATATCTGGCTGGGAGTAACTTCTGCCAAAAGGGGGGATTGACAGTAGGGGACGGCGTGATTTCTATTGATACTGACACTCCCTTCTCAGTCATATGGCTGCAGGGTGATGGGAAGCAGTGAGAGAGTTGAGCTGGGGGGTTCAGAGTGGAGACCATCAGAGTAACCCAGGGAATCCATTTGGGAGGGGAGTTCCCCTCCCCACATGATGGATTCTGGAGCAGCCCCCCAGGATCCATTCTTAAGCAGGAAGCTCCATCCCACGGTGGCAACTGAACCAGCCCCAGGGCATCTCTGTGTTGGTCTGTGTCCAATTGGATTTGGGAACAAGAAGGGCTGTCCTCTTTCTCTAGATCTGGCTTTCGAGCTGCCAGCGAGAGTAGGGCATGGTCCTCCCAGCCTGGCCTGGCACCCCAGGCCACGTTCCAAGCACCTCTGCCTTCCCAGGGCCCTTGTCACCTCTGCTCTGTACTTGCAGGAATTCCAGGCGCTCTGCACAAGGAACAAGCTGCTGGCAGAGTTCGGGGACCGCCTGGTGCGTCTCAGCACTGCTAACACCTATTCCTACCGTAAAGGTGCGGGGCTTGGCTCCAGGGCACATGCGCTGAGCTGCACTCTCACTGGGCTGGCTGTGCGGTGGGAAGCTGCTCCAGACAGACGTGGGGGGCAAAGAGGGGTCAGAAACACAACTCTGCTTGGCCTCAGGCAATGCCTCCCTTCCTGCTGTCATGGCTGGTTGATGACAGAAGATCTTGCCTGAGGCTCTGGATTTCATTGTCCAGGGAGCACAGTAAGCCAGGCTTGCTCCTTTGCCTCCTCCCTCTTCCTGGGCCAAAACCCCACTCTGTGCTCTTGGGCAAGTCACTGGCCCTCACTGTGCATCGGTTTCTCCAGCTGTGAACTGGACACATTGCACTTGGCCTAGGAGGGAGGGTTTCAGTGTTGCTCATTGGCAGGACAACAAGGATTTCCAGGCTGCTGGGCTGTGGGCTCCGCAGAGGGAATAAGCTGGAGGAGGGTGGAGTGTGAGAGCCCTGCTGTGCCCCCTCAGCCCTGCCTGGGTAGATAGGTCACACACCTTGGGGAAGGACAGCCGTGAACTCTCTCCTCCCTCGCAGTGGATGTGCCATTCCAGGAATACGTGGAGCACCTGCTGGAGCCTCAGGACCTGGCCTCCCTGGGCAGTGGTGAGTAGAGGGCTCTTCTGTTCAGGCTCTCCCTGCACCCTCTTTAGTGCTCTGCCTCGGATTCAACCGTGTGGCTGAGAAATCCAGTTCTGGATGGATTCCTAGGGGCCGCCTCCTGGCCAGGGTTGTGCTTCCCTCTCCAGCCTGCATGCCCAGACAGACCAGAGCTCGTGCTCTCTGAGGGTTACCGATGTCTCTTTCTCTCCTCACCAGACACACTGTATTTCTTTGGAGACAATAACTTCACAGAGTGGGGCTCCCTCTTCCAGAAATACATGCCACCTCCATTCCGGATTCCAGGCACCAGCGGGGCCTACAGTTTTGGGATCGCTGGTCAGTACCACCCTGGGAAAAGATGATGGCAGGGGGAAGGAATGGGCTGTAGGGGAATCCTTCCCAGGCTTAGATGGAAACATGTTGCCCAGAAGCGATGGCCTAACCAGGCTTGGTCCATCTGATCCCATCTCTTGTCTGTCTGCCCGCAGGCTCCGGTTCTGGGGTTCCCTTTCACTGGCACGGCCCGGGTTACTCAGAGGTGATCTTCGGCAGAAAGGTGAGAGCTGGGTGGGGAGTGGACTGATTTACGGACCCTGGAAAAACCAGGTGTTTCCCCATCCACAGCCCTGCTGTGGAGCGGAGCACCCTCCTAGCAAAGTGGGGATTTGATCCAGGCAGCGGAGCACAGACTGTGCCTGTCCAGAGAGGATCCGTGATCCCCTCAGCCTTGGGGTGCTGTCTGCTGCAAGTGGCTGAGGCTTTGGAGGAATGGGAAATTTCCCCATAATGCACCTGGCCACTTGCACACACTGAGGACCAGCGATGGAGGTTCCTTAGTGGCCCCTGTGGCAAAAGGATGTGTACACACACAGAACAAGACAACAGCCCATACCCCAGAGACCTTGCAATCAGGCAGTGAGGTTCCTGTTCAGGTCTGACCCTTATGGGGGCAGCTGGAAGAGCCCTAGCAGTTCCCCTTAGACAGGCCACCCCACACATCCTTTCCAAGAGAGGAGGGCAGAAGGGGAACTGCTGAGCTCTGGGGAGGAAGGGGGAGCCCACCCTGCAGGGAAGTAGAGATTTGCAGGTCTCCAGTGAAAGGGGACCCCATGATAGGCAGAGCGGGGTGTTTGCTAAGAGCCCCTCTCTTTGCAGCGCTGGTTTCTGTATCCCCCCGAGAAAACCCCCGAGTTCCACCCCAACAAGACAACTCTATCCTGGCTGCTGGACACATACCCATTCCTGCCACCAGAGGACCGCCCTGTGGAGTGCACCATTCACCCTGGTGAGGTCAGTCCTGCACCCCAGGGCCCAGTGAGCCAGCCAGCCCACCCCCTGCTGCAGCTGCTCAAGGGACCTGTAGAGTGCATCAGCTTGGAACGCCAGGGGCTTTGTGTCTGGAGAGAGAGGGGAGATTCGCTGGTGCTGCACAAGCAGCAGGGACCCTGACGCAACAGTGTCTGGGAACCCCAGTGCTGAAGCTGGGCTGTCAGAGGACCAGGAATCCCAACGCCAGCACTTCTGCACCAGAGCCAGGCCACGCAGTGACCAGGCACGCACACCAGCACAAGCAGCTGTAAGATTCCTGACACTGTTGCTTTCCAGACAGAAGGCCAGCTGTCACAGGATTAGGTGCTGGGGCTGGACTGGAAGGGGCCACGTCCCCTGATGCTGGCATTACCATGCAGGAGGCCAACTGGGAGGTGTAATGGGTGGGACAGGGGAGAAAACCACGTAGCGTTACAGGCAGTGCCCAGCCAGGCCAGAAGGGGGAGCAGAGCTCAAGAGCCAGCCGGTAAATGTGCAGAGAGAAGTGTTAGATTAAAGCTCAGCAGAGAGAGGAAGGATGGGCCAGTGGATTGGGCACTAGCCCAGGATTTGGGAGATTGGGGTTTGATTTCCTGCTCTGCTCTAGGCATCCTGTGTGAACCTGGGCAAGTCCTGTAGCCTCTTGGGGGGCAGGGGGAATACATTAGAGATTGCAAGGCGCTCAGATATTGCCTTGATGGGGGCCCAACAGGTACATGTCAGGGCTGGCATCTGTTCCTAGCTGGCTATCTGATGTTACACAGATAACCAGTCTGTCTGGGCCTCAGCTGGGAAATGTGGACAGCACTTCCTACCCTCTGGGACTGTGGTAGGGCTCACTTGGCAATGCTGAGGGGCTCAAATACTAGGGAGATGGGTGTTCTAAAGAACCCTGAATGTGACATGGCCCTCTTTAGTCTCATCTGTCAGAGGATCTCAAAGCACTCTATCTATAAATACATGTGCGCACACTCTTAAGAATTCAGCCACACGCTCTAGCTCGGGAAGGAGGTCAGTATCGGTGATTTTGGCCTAGCCTAGCTATAGAAGCTAGCTTACATGTGGGAGCAGGCAGCAGGTTTCTGCAGCACAGGATCTGATGATCCTTCTCGCAGAGCAGGGCTGAGGCCTGCATGAAGCACCAGCAATTGAAAGGAGCTTGGGAGTGCCAAACCCTGCCAGTAGAGGGTCCTAGTCTGATGCAGGACAAGCATGAGTCGCAGCATCCAGACAGCCCTAGCTGCAGCTTGAATGCCACTCCCAGCAGGGATTTTCAGAAAGGAGGGGCTCTGCAATGGTAGGAGGGGGGTAAAGTGCACGAGCCAGCTGGTGAATGAATAGGGAGACTGGGCTCCTGATTAAGGCCCAGCATCTGCTCAGAGAAATGACACACTGAGCCCTGCCTTTGCTTTAACTATGACCCTCTAGTTCTGAGCACTAAACAGAGCATGTGGCCCTTGCCTAGAACATACGCAGAGGCTAAACCACAATGCCTGGGGGAGCTAGAGTCCACATGGACACACAGCACAGCTCCCTCTGACTCAGCCTGCCACTGTCCCACAAATTAGCTATGGAGTGGACAAGCCTATTCAGAGGCATTACAATGTAGGCAAGTGGCCAGTCAGCCTCAGAGAAGCTCTCACTGGAAGCTCAGGTCACAGTTGAAAGCCCAGGCTGCCCGCCGCTTTCTACAGGTAGAGCCCACACAAGAGGGCAGCTGTATCAAGGCTGCGTGGCCAGTGAAGGACCAGGCAAGCAGCTCCCCCTCCCCTGCTTCTGTCTCCTCTGCAGGTCCTGTATTTTCCTGATCGCTGGTGGCACGCCACCCTCAATTTGGACACGAGTGTTTTCATCTCCACCTTCCTGGGGTAGAAGCTCAGGACTTTGCCTGCCTGCCATTCCTGGTGGTTCCTCAGGAGCTGAATTGTTCACTTCCCTCCCACCAAAGCCCTGGGATTCTGCTGGTGAATTGTAGCCAGCTCTCTCTCCTCCATAACCCTGCATGCAGAGCTGGACTCTGGCTGTAGGGCTGATACAGCTCTAATCCATCTAGGATTTATCCTGGTCTATGTGAGCACCCCCACCATTCTGTGACTCAGCAGCTGCTGAGGTTGGGTTGGAGGAGAGAATCTGTCCCCTTTCTCCCATGCAGGGTGGGAGCTCTGGGCAGCTGGTGGCAGTTTCTGCTGTACTTACAATTTTGTGCTTTCTGTTCCTCAGCTCCATGGGCAGAGCTCCTCCTCCTGCCTGCCCCGCCCACCCCACCCCCTTCCTTCACATTCTCTTTGTGTTTCGAACATCTGAGGAACAGAGTCCATGGCAGAAGGCAGCTTCTGGCTCAACCCTGGTCTCTAGGCAGGAGTGACATTACTATGTAGGCTCTTCTTTAAATGGACCATTGGTCAGTAGCACAGAACCAGCCGCTCTAGAGCTAAACCGCCAGGCATGGGGCTTAATCTAGCCTCAGATGCCCTTGCGTCCACCCTTGGTGACCCTCGCCCAGCATCTGTGCTGAGAGCTCATTTCCTGGTGCTCATTCATGGGTGCAGGGGAAAACTGAAGGACCAGTTTGTGTTACCCAGGAATCCCCTGTGGCTTGGGGTGGTTGGGCTGGCTTTCACTTGAATGTTAATGTACAAGCAGCAAAGGATACTTGAAATAAGTGTTTAGGTTATTTATTGGGATTTCCCTATTTCAAATCTGGATTAAAATATAACTGCCTTATCTCTGCACTTGTCATGACTGCCTTAGCACTGAATCCTACCACACCATAGCCAGCCTCTGACAAAAGCAGCTGCTACTTTTCCTCTCATTTACTCTTGGCCCCCAGGGATTGTGGCAAATCCCTGCTCTGACATGAGCAGGATTACTCCTGGACTGAATCTGGCATAGGGGTTGTTTTCACACATGCGGCCCCCCCGATGCAGAGCTTTTAGTGCTTTTCAGCCAGCACCTCACACACAGAATCTGACTACACTGCAACTGGGAGATAGGTGCAAGTGCCGCATATGTAGACAGGAGCTAGCTTTGGTCTAGCTAGAGCAAAGCGAGCTTAAGTAACAACAGTAGTGAAGCCACACCCACCCTGAACCTCCAATACCTAATCAAGTAGCCATTGCGGACGCTGCCACTATCATTCCTCAAGCTAGATCAAATCTAGCTCAGCTATGTCTACAGATGCTGCAATCACCGCTCCTGACTGCAGCGCACAGACCCAAATAGCCTTATCCTGGTTCTGCAGGTGGGGAAACTGAGGCAGGGAGTTGCCGATCCAGGGCAAGACTAGAAATAGATTCCTGCCCCCAACCCAGAGTCCCTTCCATTGTAATGAGCACAGACCACACTGCCTCCCAGTAATGCACCCTTAGAATAGGTCTTCTTGAGCTAGTCCGCACTAAAGGACAATTCTGTGAAGGGTTCACCGATGGAAGCTAGGGTGTTGGTCGACAGACCCAGACAGCTCTGCATGGCATTTGGCTCCGTCAGCCAGTAGGTAGGTCACAAGTGCAGCTGTCACCTTGCAGGCAAGGCTTGGCCCTGTCCAGAAGTTCTGAAATGGCACGAGGCCCCTGTCCGACTGACTCTGGAAGCAGTCAAGACTGAACACTGGGACCTTGAAAACAAATCTGAACAAACGGTCTCCACGCAGGGCAAAGCACCTGCTTCCCTTCCTCTCTCAGTAATTGCTCTTGAGTTTGGAGAGGAGTTAGCCGAGAGAGGATGGCAAGAAGGATGAATTGGTTCATAAAGTGCTACCGATGCACTCCATGAATAATTCATGGCTAGAAAGCCAGGCAGGTACTGACTCCTCCCCCGAGCCTGATGCAAGAACGAAAGGACACTTGATGGAATTAAAAAGATACCCCATTTACCAACAACAGGCAATCCTCTCCTTTGCAGCCTGTCACTAACCTGGAGAACTCTTTGCCACAGATATCAGCCAGAAAGCTCTTAGTATGACTGAAAAAAAATCACTGGGCACTTCAAAAGAAAAAACAGAATCTACAGTTACATTAACCAGGATAAAATGACAAAGGGCACCAGTCTTTCCACTTCACAACACAGTACAATGATCACCAACTGAGATCAACAGAACAGCAAGGTACCCGGGGAACAGAGGAAACCTTGACTCAAAATAGGACAGCAGACTGGCTAGACGAGTGGTCTGCTGAGACATCGTTATATTCAAGTATCTTGCTATGTATATCCTCCCGCAACAAAAGCTCTGTCTAATATGCTTGCCAGTGGCTAAGTGAGCAGGAGACTTAGACCCCAGTCTTCATAAAGGCCAGTTTCCTTTCCCTCCCCCAACTCCCTATAAATATCCTGGCAAATACCTGACCAGGTGGGCTAATGAGTTCAGCTAGAGATTCCTCCAACTGGCAGCAACACTGTTCCGCCACCTCCTCCTTCCTTGTGGGGAGGGACAGAGGCTACGCCTTGACTGCCTTCTCCAGGGACGCACAAGAAGCTACAAGCATTTCTTCTCTTACAATATGTAATAACCCACCCAACAAACAGGTTTTGCTTGGCATCAGTCTGAAAGCCCCTTCCTGGCCTTGAGATTGCACAACAGAGCAAAGATACTGATGCTAGCAACTTTGCCCCCTCACAGCTATAATCTGAGAAGCTTCGCACCCACAGAAACGGGAGGAAACACCCCACAAAACATCAACACAGTAATTGCATCATGCACCAGAGGGTTTCTCCAAACCCTGAACTTCTCCAAAATATATATCAGCGTTCTCCCTAGGAAAAATCTGATCTGAAGGGGACAGAACTTCAAGCAGCAACAGAACAGGTTTAGAAATCAACAAAGCAAAAACTAGACAGTGCTTCCTGTTAGAGAACAGGCCTGCCCATGTGATGCAATTGATGCAACATGGCATAGATAACATACAACAAAAAGAACACTTAGATCCCCCATGTGCAGACATTCACATGCTGCCTTGCATGTGAAGATTGCAGCTACCCTCATCTTTAACATGGAGGTACAGCCTCTGGAGACTACAGGCCCAGCATGCCATGCTGCATCTTAATGTGAGCAGCCTTCCTGCACTCCTTACTAAGAGAGATGTCATCTTCTGTGCAAGTGCTATTCACATGCCCTCCACTTCTGCGCCCATGTGCCACTGGGGGCTGCCTCTGCCCAGCCTCCACCAGCCTTTTCAAAGGAAAAATCCCTTCAGTCATGAAACATTCAGACTATTTAACACTTATTGCTGAAATATTTATTAACACTGGCAAACTTCTGGAGAGCGCACTCATGAAGCCAGGCAGTCTGCAGGCCAATCAGACATCAAGACTTTCAACAACCAAAACGCTTTCGGCCGACTTTTTTTCTTTTTCTTTTTTTAAGGGTTTAATTAAAACAAATATGAACTTTGATCCAAGTGGTTAGCAGGGAACTACTGTCCCTGGGGCTGGAGAGTGGCCTCCCATGGGTCACGGCTTCCATCCTACAGGACAGTGGTTTCCCAGTACAATCTCACATACCAGTCAACGTCTGTATAATATATATTTCATTTCCCTCCCCCAGCAAGTGGCTATTTACAGGAAAACACGAAGAGAACTACATTGGACAGACAGGAGATGTAGGAAGAAAGAAACAAACTATGTACAGAGGGAGGGAGTGGAGAATGCAGTTCAGCATGGACAGCAGGAGAGCCCTTCCGAGCCAGCTCCTCACCGTAGGCACGGCTCCCACATCTCCCCAGGAGCAGAGCTTGTGCTGTGGGGAAAGGGAGTCGGCAGATGTTTTTGTGGAGGAAGGTTTGAGGTGGGGTATGAAAAGCAGTGATGCTGGCTAGTACAGAGTAACACCGCTCTTCCAAAAGTGCTTCTGTGGGTTGCCTCCAGTGCTGGGTCCTCGACAGGCGCTCCCTCTCTGCCTGCCTAAGGCAATCTTGCTTCTGTCTATTATGTTGAGAAGTTACCAGGAGCCCAGGTGAGCAAGGAGATGGAAGGACCCTTCATGGCCCTGCTCAGTCAGTCTGGCCCAGCTGTGGTTTCTGGGAGATGAGATGATAATGCATTCTAGTCCAGCACTGCCAATGGATCTCTGGGCATCCAAGAGGGGAGGGAGAGAGAGAGAGACTGAAAGTGAGTAAGGCTTGGGGCCAGCCCAGCATGCTCAGAGAGCAGTCCATAGCAGAGTGCGCTGCCATAGCTGGGGCTGCGGTGAGGATCCACAGAACTGTGCCTGCTCAGCCATCAGTACTCTTCTACCCAGCCATTTTCTGATATGAATGCATCTATCACCTCCTTCATAGCAAGGTTTGGGATCAGCTGGTCTTGGGTCAAAGGACTTCGGGTCACAGGGTCAAAGTGACCAACACGCTGAAAGGGAAAAGAGACCATAAGGAGGATGGAAATAGAGCAAAAACCTGAGTAACCAGCCCCTTACCCTGTTGCTGCATCTGCATCCCCTAGGCCTGCCAGAGACCTCCCAGCCACTCAGTCAGTCTCGGTTCCCCGGGTATAGCTAGCCCCATGTGCCCCCTTGCTACCTGAGGGATGCTCCCCACAGACAGGATGCCACAGCTGGACAATTTAATCTACACTGGAGACAGGAGGGGAAGAGACAAGACACTTCTTACTTTAGTGTGTTACTTACCCTAGCAGAAACATCTTTTCAGTCATAACCACAGCTGTGGGGGTTTCAGAAAAAACCACCACCCACAACTGGGAGCGGGCTGGCAATCCGATGGCACAGAGCACACACAAAGGAGAGAGCTGAGATGTAACTTAGCTTAGCAATTTAACATTGCTCTGGGTGCACAGACCATCTTTATACTGGCCACTTCCTGAAGACAGGACACTGGGCTAGATGGACCTTTGGTATGACCCAGCATGGCCGTTCTTATGTTATAAATAGATCCAGTGACTAGTATTCAAGGCCCCCATCTAAACATAAGACTCCTCCGAATTCCTCCAAAACTAAAGCCCTCTCACCACATTCTCCCCCCCCCCCCCCCCCCCCCCGAAAAAGCCTGAGAGAACAGAGGCTTTACAGC